CTCGTCGATCGACAGCCCACACCAGTTCAATCGACCACTTCTGTCAGCTCAACTAATCGGCTGCCAACGACTCAAACGGCTCGATGGACCATACTTCATCAATTGGGACAGTATCAACCACACTAAGGAGATCGATTGTTCCTCATCAATCACAACCACACTGGTTTGATCGACCACTTCTGTCGGCTTGATTGATTGACTGCCACTAGATGATCAGCTCAACCGAATATGCTCCGTCCATCGGTTGTCTCAGCCTGATCGACTATTCCTCATCGATTGACTGTCCACGTGGGTTTGATTTGCAACTTTTTGTCAACTTAACTGATCGACCTTCATCAGCTCAATTGGCTCAACCGACCATTCTCCATTGATCGGCCTCCCCGGACTGATCGATCGTTTCCTGTTCAATAAACTACTTCTTTGGTTCGACCGATCGTCTACCATCTGCCCTACCAGCTAGACTGGACATACTCTTCCTATCGATTGGCTTGGCCTGATTGATTATTCCTTGTAGATTGACTTCCCACATCAGTTCGAGCATCTACTTCTGTCAGTTCGATCGATCGGCCACCGCTTGCTCGATCAGCTCAATCGACCATTCTTTGTCGATCGACCGCCCTGACTAGAACGACCATTCCTTATCGATCGATCACCACCAGTCCTATTGTATCAATGGGACATCCTTTGTTGATTAGCCACAAACTATGACCCAATCGACCCTTTCAGTCAATTCGACTGATTGGTCACCACCGGCTCGATCAATTGGTTGATCATTTCCATTTGGTATGTTGTATATAATGCATGCTATACACGTCGCCTGCATTAGCATGCCCACACTTGCACATTGTCATGCACATGAAAGCATAAACCCTCATATGCTTGTGATGAATATTTGTGCCTCTACCTGGCACATTATTCTGCATTTGCATCATGGTGTCCTTATGTCACTTTGCACCACATCACAGGTGGTTTGCACTTGCACTTTCCACTTTGCATGCTTGGTTGCATAGCATCCTATAAATTCGTAACTAACATATTTGAAGCTCTCTGCATTTGGTCTTGTGCTTGACACACCTATCTCAGACAATCACACATCATGTGAGTAGATGGCTAACCATTAAGTCCATTCACTGTGTAGTTCTATTCCACAAGAATTACATTATCATCACTTCCCTATGGCATTATTCCAGACTATCGTAGGTATCCTCACTCCGGACTACACGTGTCCTCTTTGGGTTTGGCTTGCACATCAAGCCTGCCCGACGTGTGTTTCTCTCTAGCAAGAAATACAACACCTCACTCTCATTGTGCGACTAGCATGTGCACCATCTCTTTTCCTATGGCATCATTTACATACCATGGAAACGCCACACCGCATCACTTGGTATGGATCATGCCTCAAAGGCCTCAAAGTCCTTCAAGTATGTGATGTGTGTCCATGCGGACACATGGCTACTATCTAGTATGGATCATGCTTCAAAATTCTCTAATTCCATTTGGTGTGCAAGTCATGTCACCCATGGCTTCACTTCGGTATCTCATGTGTGTGTCATATATCTTGAGTTTCGCATTTACATTTTTGCACTAGCGATGCATTCATCATGGGTGTATGCTATCTTCTACTTATGATGAATGTTTATTATTCCGTGATCGCTTTTACTCCGATGGAGTCGTCACGATTCACTGAACAACTTTGCATTTGCATGTGCATCCCCAACTAATTCGATGACGAATCTTGCTCGTTAGCTGAGTGACCCTTTCATTGCTCATAACATGTTTGCAAGATGCCTCGCTGGGCAATACTAGCTACCGCACTGTGACTGACACACATATGTTGTGCTAATGTTCCAAGGGGTCTAATAGGTGCAACTTACGCTTTTTTCTTTCTTAGGCCCTATTTTAAGGATATAAAAATTTAAATTTTTTATTACATATGGACCATGTTTTAAAAACTTACTTTGAAATTAATTTTTTTTTATCTTACATATGCTCCATGTTTTAAATGTAAAAAATTAAATTTAAAACTTACATCAAAATTATGCATATCTAGCTTAGACCATACATGAGGTCAATTTTTTGAAAGCTTTATCAACACCCACATTTAGTGGCACCTTTTAGTATCCTTTGTTCCTTAGAATGGAGGCGAAGAGGGTAACCACGTCAAAACATAGGCCAACCTACTGACTTTCGCCCTGCACTCAATTAGATACTTTCTCTGCTAGTTTAATTGCCTGGTCAAGCATCAATTTTGTGTTGTTTTGTGTTTCTACTGGGTGTAAGGCGTGTGCACTAGTATATTAGGGGTGGTATTTTTGCCGCTAGCCACGTCCAACAGGAAGGAAGTATAATGATTTATCTAATCATAATATCTACAAGTGTTGCTTAGCTCTCCTCCCACTGGGCATGGCTCACAACATTGCATATAGGCAGCTTTATACTTACCTAATTTTCATGTAATTTGAGTTTTTTTTTTACTTTCCTTTCGTACTTTTTAGAGCCTTTATGAGAGTTTTGTATTATAAATAAGATACAGACACGAGTTCTGAGATGCCAAGCGAGCGGAACCATATTACAGAAACTAGGAGCTACTTGCTCATGCCTCGTATAGAATTAGGACAAGGTGTGAATTTATGCAGAGTCTGACCACCTTTTTCTATTTCTGGGATATGTTGTCTACCCAGCAGCACACAACCTTTCTTATTCTTTTGATTTGGCTTGCCTTACTTTTTTTTCTTGCAAGTGATTGTCAGTTATGTCATTTTTACTTTTAATTTGTCTGGAATCATATGTTATTATTTAAGCTCTCTGAGGACCTAAAACTTATAAAAACCTTTTCAAAAGTCCTAATAAACGATTAATACTAATCACAATTTAGGATTAAAAGATTCAAGATTTTTCAAAATCTGTCTTGCATGGCTTTCGGGCTTTTTAAATGGGATGCATTGCATGACTATCACCCAAGTCATATTTAATAAGGCTTCCACACTTAGGACTCATTAGACAACTGCATTATACTTGCATTTCCCGAGGAGAAGTCCCCGTGGTTCTCTAACCAAATTGACCCCTCATAGATATCTACCTAGGTGGTCGTCTAATACGCTTAGGGTGTTGGTGGTTTCTTTGACCCAAACAGAGAGCAAGTCTTGTAGCCGAACTTCTCTTCTATTTTCAATCCAGTGACTTCCTCGCCACTTTGGCAGGTATAAGTCCCACATATGCTCTTTCTAACTACGTAGGCTCATAATATTAAAGTTTTCTTCTCTTGACCTTATGGCTACTAAGGTCCCTTGGGACGACAAAATTCACGGATCGCTACAAGGGGTCTCCGGTTGTGTTGGGTATATTACCTTCACGATCGGGTACACTTGGGGTCTTAATAGCTTGGGATGACAGATTTGTTGTACCCTGACCTGACTCTACGCGATTAAGATTACTCCACCTTCATTTGTTATACCTTTTTTGAGGTATGCCACTCCCTTTGATTTTCGTTGATGTCGTTTCGTAGGACCCTAATAGGGATAGGCCGCCACCCATTTGAGATATGGTGATTTACCCTTTACCCTTATGAATTGGTTAGGCTTTGAAAGCATAGTGTGGACCCTACAAAATGGCATGTTTATTCATATCCTCATGTGCCAATAAATCGTTACCCATTTGATATGTGAGAGATCCACTCTTTGCCTTATGGCTTAACTAGGTCTTTGAAAGCCATGGGATGTTTCCGTGAGGTAACCCTCTTTTATGAGACCCTGTTCTATTCGTCATCTAAATATAAGCAGGACTTCTTTAATCGAGAGTATTTTTGGGCACTCCTCAAATTGTAATTAACCAAGGGGATACGTTCTTTTTTAGAGTTGCATTCGACCACAGAACAAAATGTTCTTTTGGTTCTCTGATTACTTGGGTAGTTTATGTGGGTATTTTTCGTAGATATATGGTTCAATGTGCCTCGATATGATCTTGCTCAGAGATACACCCTTAACCTATAGCATGAGGTTTACCTCGCATAAGCTCTTCCTTCCGATTCTTTTCAAATTTGTTTGCATAGTCTCCATCTTAATTCCTTCTTTTCCCATACCTCCTCTACTCCGAGTCATTCATGCGATTCAAGTAAGAGGACCCTTTGGAAAAGAGAATCCTAATGCGACGAGTAGACATGCTAGCGACTCCGACTTACAGAAAAAACCAAAACAACCAGCATGGTCCTTTAGTTGTCGGACCGTCCTTGCATGATCGTCAACCTTTCAGTCGACTGTCTATCAGTTTGTTGGCGGTCTTCCGCAAGTCGATTTCATGAGCACTTGCAGCTTTTCTTTTAGAGGAATGATTCTCGTTTCATCTCTTTTAATTTAGACTATTATATTATTTATATTCTTGCATATCATTTTTTGGGCATACAACAATAGACTTCACTATAATTTAATTTATTTTAAATGACCATAGTGCTTGAGCAATCAATTGCTACTTCAAAATAGATTATAATTAATGTTTACTTAAAATTATGGTCATCTGTTTTTTTTTTTTCATTCTCCCTCAAATCACAGAAACATTGTTTGTCGGCACCGTTTCTACAGGCTGGCTCATAAATTTACATTACTAGCACACACTTTTTATGTATTTACACGTACACGTAATTCGGTGCTAAAATAACAATAATAATAGTTTTATGTTATTTCAAAGATTTTAAATGTTATTTGTACAAATATAAAAAAATAAATATGTAAATGTACCTTTTTGTTATTATTATAAGGCTTAATAACAAAATTAGTTATGTTAATAGACCCATTAATTTATCTATCCACGCACGCAGGCACCGCCACAGCGGGTGCCGCCGTGGGTGCAATTGACCGTAACGGCACGGAATCCAACGCATGAGGCGGCTACGTGAAGTCAGTCAAAACGCTGATTGACTGCGCCGAATATTTCCATTTCTCCGCTTCTCCGCTCCCTCTACGCCCACATCCAGCCGTCCATCAGCTTCCATCTTTTCCCTATAAATACGTAACTCGCCCCGCTTTCTTCTTCAGCCGCATCTGGCCTTCAGAGAACAGAGGAGGAGTGCGATGGCCCCCAAAGGGAAGACAAACACCACCGGCGGCGGCGGCGGGATCGCCGGAGTAGATGTCGTAGCGAAGGCGATCCACTATCGAGGTGTGAGGAAGAGGCCGTGGGGGAGATACGCGGCGGAGATTAGGGATCCGGGGAAAAAGAGCAGGGTCTGGCTGGGTACGTTCGATACTGCGGAAGAGGCCGCTAGGGCTTATGATTCGGCCGCCAGGGAGTTCAGGGGATCAAAGGCGAAGACCAATTTCTCCTATCCAGAGCCTTATTCGAGTCCCAGCAGCCAGAGCAGCACCGTTGAATCTTCGAGCAGGGAAGCCCCATCTACCCTACCGCCTCTAGCGACCACGTTTCCTCTTCCAGAACTTGATCCGATCAACCGCAGCGGTCCGCGATTCCCCTTCCAGCGATTCCCTGCAAATGCTACCGCTCCATCGTATCCGATCTTTTACTTCGATCCGTTTGCTGGATCGGATACGGTGCCTAATCTTGCTCCCACTGTGGCGATCGCCGGAGGGAAGAATCGTAATCTAATGCTGCTCGAATCGCCGTTGATGATTCCAGATTCCCACGCGCCAGCTCACTCCGGCGTGCAGAGCGATTCGGATTCCTCCTCTGTCGTCGATGCTCATCCTTCGCCCCCGCCGAAGAGGCTCGGTGGCGGATTCGATCTTGATCTAAACCTTCCTCCTCCGGCTGAAATTGCATGATCTTCTCCCTCTAAACTCTGATCAATTATTTTTGTCGCCTATATAATTGAAGGAACAAAATTAGTAACGTTTTTTGTTGATTTGACTCGATTTCCTTGCAATCGCCGGGATTAGCGAAGTTATTGTAGATAGTTTTAACTCCTCTCTCTTTTTTGCTGAGGGTTTGAGGATCTGTTCCCGTAGATCCCAACCTGTGTTTTGTAATCCTTTTCATTAATTGCAGATGTTATGATTTCATTAATTTCGTTTTCTTTACTTCGTTAATTTAAGATTATGTTGAATCGAGGGACGCAGATCAGGGTTTGTTGGGTTTTGGTGGAGGGGAATGGCATCAATATCATTGTATGCGTGTCGACGACTTCTGCAAACAGATCCGCTGAGCAGACGCCAGCACGTGGATGAGGCTTTGGCCGCCGCCCCGTCGGCTCCTGCTTTTTATATCAAATAACTATCAAATATTTAAAAGGAAATATAAAATATTATAACGACCACGCTTCTAAAAGTAGAGAGCATATTACATCAGGACTCCGGATTTTAAAGTACGTTCGAATTCTAATAATAATTTTCCTAAAAGTAAGATTTACATAAAAACACTCAATTATCTATTTATTTACTTATCTAGCATCTATATTTCTTGAGTGTAAACGGTCTCGTTATAAAAATATTACTGTTCAGCTCGTTTATATTTTAAATAAAAAAAATATATATATATGTTCATATTCGACTTATTTGTTTAACAAGAAAAACACAAGTTGTTCGTGATCAGAGTCATTTTCACAATTATAATCACATAAGAGTTGGAGTGAGATTTAAATTTTATTATTTATATTAAAATATAATTTAATATGTTTTTACTTTATTTTTTAATTTATAATTTTAATTGATTATAAATCTTTACAATCTTATAGTCAATTCAGTTCTTTTAAAATTATACTCATCAATTATATATATATAATTGAATTATTTCGAGTGAAAATGATGTTCGCGTTCAAATGAATCGAACACGAACTTCTTAATAAGTCGAACATAAATTGTTCACGAGCGACGAGTCATTTTCACAGCTCTACCCATATTACAATTTTTACATATATTAGCCACTTTAACTAAAATTTAAAATTTAGCTGTCACGTATGTAAATACATATTTTGTGGTATTTATGACAAAATGTTTTCACAAGTATTACTTTAATGTTTAGTCCGGCGGCGGGATTCAATTCCTAGAATGTCAGTAATTAATTTTAAACATTTTATGAGCTAATTAATGACATAATTTTAGAAGCATAAATCACTTTTTAGAGTTAATTAATGGCATAATTTTAGAAGCATAAATTCTCCAAATTAATATTAAGAGGAATTTTATATAAGAACTTGTCTGTATATTCAAAAAAAAAAAACAGTAATGTGTATATATATATATA